CACGGAAAATGTTTTATATTTGTTAAATATAATATATATTGTAATACAATGAAGTCTGCACAAACGCGATGAACTAGAATACAGTAAAAGCGAATAAAACTAACCGCGCAGCTTATATAACCAAGGAGATAACAAGAGAATTAATCAAACGAATATTTCGGCACATTTTTTCTTGCGTTGTATCATGTCATTCACACAGTAGAGTGCATCAGAAAAATAAGGAATTGGAAAAGGCCAAACTTGGCTCATGCATATTTAATGCTGATATGCGTAACAAAAAGGATATCAGACTTTCGCAATTTGAAAATAACTTCTAGCCGATTACCGCCACTGAATTAGGCTAATTTTAGATCCGAAACTCATCTATAAATCATGATAATTTAGCCAACCATATTGTTTTATTTTGCTCATATGCATGTTAATGAATTCATTAACCAACTTCTTCATCACTTAACCCGTTCCAGTTCTGGCGATTTTCTTCGTCCAAATTTGTGTAAAACCTCTCTTTAGAAACTCGTATTTTAATAGAATTGTGTTTTTGTGGAATAATTTACCTTCTGTATAAAAGCGTCCTCTTCAGCTGCTATCCTTAAAATACTAAACTATGCCAATAAACTGAACACTGTCTTCGATATAGACAGACCTATAGAACGTGGAAAACTCTGTGTAGCAAGTGTCGCTCGTTGCAAACAAACTGTTGTTTATAAATATGTAGGAATGTATAGTCATAGTTCATGTTATTTTGTGATTGTATTTTTATTTATTGTTATATGTTTAGTGTATTCTTTGTAATTTTTTTTGTGGGACGTAATAAGGAACAAATAGTTCTGTTGTCCTTTCCATCAATCGTGCGATTGTTAAGTTAATAAGTAATGTTAATTCTGATTGGCTGACAAGCGGTCCGTAAAAAAGCCATATCTGGACCGTGGTCCCGGATGTCGTTTATCTGGTGGGAAATTTTTGCTTTGCAAACAGAAAAAAATTTTGCTTTTTAATTTTCCAATTGTGTGTCATTAAAATTTACAGATAAAAATGTTACCCAGTGAAACTGACGATAGTCGATTTAATTCGCGCGAAGAGCATATGCTCAGTTCAGCCATATAATAAACCGATTATTGACCTCGCTTGTTCGTTCGTACTGTGAAATATCAGACCTCTGTTTTTTGCATGGACCTCGCTCCTTCGTCGCTCGGTCCATACTAAGGCCCCGTTTACAGTATACCGGATTGCTATCGGAGTGCGTCAAAGTTTGTAGGTATTGAAAGGCTGTGAAGATTTTTAATCTCAGAGACCCAAATAAACATGCCAATTCTGTCAAACTAATAAGCATTTGCTACTAACCATTACTTCTTAACGGCAGAAGATGATGGCGTGACGAGCGAATCGGTATAGTGTATAAACGGGGCCTAAAAAACCTCGGTCTGATATTTCACAGTACAAACCGAACAAGCGAGGTCAATAAGCCGTTAATATATATCTGGTGAAGTATATTGATTCAGTCCTAGCACTGGATCAAAATTATAATTCAGTCCTTGGACTGGATCAAAATTAATTCTCCTCACTTCTTCAAGTAGTGATTTATTCATATGAGATGTCATTTTTTATCAGATTGCGCGGCCTTGAAATCTAGTCCAGCAGTCCTCATAGTCGAATTTGAAATATTACGTAAAGACAAAAAAACAAAGCAATGTTTCTTATTCATTTCAGTTTGCAAGCTATCTGTTACACGATATTTCTTGCACTCTTGTCATATGCATTGATCTACGGAGCCACGCGAGAAGACCCAAAGAAGTACGACGGATCGGCTGACAATTTCAGACTGTTTTGTGAGATTTTGAGCATTATTTTTTTGATGATATATATCTTAGAAGAAATGTGCCAAGTAGTTCGGTAAGTTTGACTTGTAAACTTAGTGTATCTCGTTTCACATGCAGCTTGTTAGTGGCGCTCACTGAGTTCCAATATAGATAGATCAGTTATGCCATGATTTGGAGGAGAACCGCAATTGGTCTCCAGTGCATGAAAATCGATGTCCAATGGCTGACGTCTACCGTGCACGCAAAACGAGGTCTTATTCCATAAAAAAACGTTTAACTTATGTAAAACTGAATGTTTAATTCCTTAAGCTGTTTCACATGAATCCTGGTGCGTATCTTCAACTTCAACGCTGTATCAACAACAATTTTGAATTTTCTCCGTTGCTTATATTAAAACCTTATTCAATGCAAGTATTTATACTTGACGCCATTTTGAAGGTGAGATCAACAGATTGACTTTTGCCCCTGATGTGTATATTTTCGACCAATTAAAATGTTTAAAAGTGTTTGGAAACCAGTTGGACATCAAATTTTGGAGGTGAATAGCTAAAGAGATGACCAATGCCATGGCAGCGGCTAGGCTAACCTGAAGTTCAGGCCCTAATCACATTAGGGCCTGAACTTCAGGTTACGGCTACCAAACGAACAGGATACGGGACAATTTATGGGACAAACATTATTATAGTTATTCGAGTGACGATATGTCTATATATGATTTGAACCCAGCACAAAGTTGGTGAGGGTTGATTATGGAGTGCAAGAAAATTGATAATAGTAGTTAGGATCGCTCGTCAACCGTTGCCCTCGACCAGGGCATTGATAAATCTATTCACATATTTTCTGCAGCTGCTCCTGTCGGTTCGTTATTATTGTATTGAATTAATTATCAACAATTGATTAATATTTAACAAATATAAAACATTTTCCGTGTTGATATACAGTTGTATCAACACGAGTGGAAATTGGGAAAAACGAGAAATTGTGTGGAAACACGACGCTCGAAGGACGGAGTGTTTTCACACAATTTCGAGTTTTCCCAATTTCCACGAGTGTTGATATAACTATAGTTATATATGTTTTATATTTGTTTTATAATATAGCACAAAGAGATATAAAGAAAGAAATTTTCCGACGATTCCGTGTTGACAATGAGTTATATCAACACGGCTCTTAGCCAATCAGCGTTCAGAATTTACAAATGCTATATTATAAACATATATAAGTTATCGTGTTAATTATATAAATCATCCGTGGAAGAAATGGGCATATTTTTGTGGAAAAGTTCATATGTTTTAAATTATTTTTCGTGTTATAATCATTTGCGTGCTATTCTCGTAATTATGATGACGCATCCTTTATATTAGATCATGCGGATGTGTAGGTGATTAAATAAAGTGATTACATACAGAAAAGTTATATACTTCATAAAAATTATGGTGTATTGACCAACTTGATTTTGTAAAATCCAAAAATGATAGTAAATAACCAAAAGAAAAATTGTTGATTGTTCTTCAAATTTGAATTTTTTTATCCAATCATCAACATGACCTGACAAACACGCGGTCTAAATGTAACAATGTGGGGAGCAAGGCTTCTAGAGACCGATGTCGTGCACACCAAATTAATAAGTCTAGGGTTCCCATTACACTGTCTGGCTTTTTGCATGTATTAACTGATTCATTAATCGATTATTTATCGGAAAAAGCTCTAATGTTATAATCGAATATAATTATGATCTCACAGTACGTTTCTTTTTCAAGATCTTTGCTAATGCACAAATTTATTTATACTTTAGAGAATTCGAGGTTTACTACAAGGATCCCTACAATTATTTTGATTGGATTGGTCTTATTCTGACGTTGCTTGTTATCCCTCTTCGATTTGCTGACGTGAGCGAGCAATGGAGCGTTGCAAGTCTGGGATATTTGTTCAATTTTCTAAGAATTTTCAAGTTTTCTTGTGTTACCAGGTAATGTTTCTTAATTTTTTTCAACAAATTATTTTAGTAAAAACTGAATGAGGTGTTTAGCGTTTCTACTTGACCATGCATGCATTGCATGCAAGCATGCTTCGTGGCATCCTTTCAAGCAGTAGGAATGTCGCGGTACCATCCACTAACGACAACTACAACTGCAGAGAATAAAAACGAATTAGCCATTTCCCAGTCGAGTAGAGGACTGGGTCTAGTCGCTTGTTTGGAGGGACAAAAAATAAACAATATGCCGAATATGGCATCTAGGAAGTTTTCCTACATTCCTAAAGTTATTTGTGCAGCCTGAAACGCAACAATTATGATAAGGAATCTTTTAATATATATTTATCTCGCTCACGATAACTTGTTGTCCCTCCAAACGTCCCTCCAAACATCAACTAGACCCAGTCCTCTGCTCGATTGGGAAATTGGCTAATTGTCCCATGTTGCATAAATAAAAATTGCCTTATAAAGCGCGTTGTCTATAAAGCGGAAGTTAAGGATGACAGAGGAGAAATCAAGGAGTTTATTGGGATAACATCAAACACATTTAAGAAAGTTTTTAAGATCATAAGACCTCATTCGAAGACGTACGCTACGTTAAATCTACTGAGCTGTCCTATAGCGCATTTGGCATTTGAAGAACAAGCAGCGCAAATTCGACAATGAATCTTTAACCGAGACTCAAGCATCGTCGCCTGAGGAACGCATTGAGCGTGAAACTCGAAGTTGCGACTGTATTTAAGTAACCTCCCCCCCCGTATTCAGCACATGTACAAGTAAATATCGGCAGAAGTGTTGCCAAGCATTTCCCACTAGTCAACACTTTAAGAAAAAATCTTTGAATCGCAGCACAATGAAGATAAGCTATAGTTTCATGAATAATATGGCTAGTATAATTAAAGGTCATAACAACTCATGCCCATTAGACGAACTATCTTACAATGTTTAACAGCAAATATCATCACCAAGCGATAGTATCCAGCACTTTCAAAATTCGATTGGGGCTTAAAAGAAAAGAATTGCGATTATGTCAAACGGACCATATTTTACACGATGTTGAAGAAAAAACTTCTATGTTGAAGAAAAAACACCCTCAAGTATATATACTACAGACGCAACCAACATGCCATCCTGTATTGTATTTTCCTTAAAAATACCCGATTATCACTCACAGATTCCTTTGTCTTTAGGACAACTGGACTGTATACAAAGACGTTGGCTAAAATTATTTATCGTGACATTAGCCGTTTTTTGGTTGTATTTGTTATCGTTTGCCTTGGTTTCTGTGGTGCCATGTTTATGGCGTTGACAGCTACTGGAATGGAGGATATTTTCAGGTAAAATTGGAATGATTGCTTGACCCAGTATTCTCCTGCAGTTTTAAACCTATACGCCTACTATTATTTTAGGCGTAATAAGGTACCGTGATATCTTAGTGCAAGTCACCAGTAAATTAACTCCACACTAGATCGAAAACGAACGACGTGAAGAGAGAAAATACTATTTCTGTGTTACTATACTGTACTTTTTGTAAAGCATCATGTGTACATCATGTTTTTGCACTATCGATTCGTGTATCGATTAAATTTTCGCATAAATTATTCGATTAAATTATTGGTATAGAGCAACTGAACTTTCTAGTTTTAGGACATGCAGAATAGCATTAAAATAGCAGGAACATACTGAAGCAGGTTTTGTAGCACGATGTTAATCTTTTGAAGGATTTTGGATTTATTAATAGCTAACTCTTATCTCTCAGAATGTTTAAAACCAGAGTTTTAATAAAATTGTAGTTAACCCACCTTCTTTATCAGGTTTGCGCTTCTGAGTTCTGGAGTGTTTTTCCTTACCTTCTATTTTCGTATTTTTTAGCAATTATGGAACGTTGATGTTAGCTGCTGTCAGAGTTCTTGCTGAACAACAGCCGGTTGAAGAAGACTACGGAAAATTCAAGTAATAATAATAATTGCTCACTTTGCTATTGGTGGATTTGGCAAAAATACAATACACACGTGACGGTGAAGGACCGTTTTTGTGAATAAACGTTGACTAACATTCCACAGCCATCTTCTTTTCAATAGGCTATGGAAAAACTTGATGGACTAGTTGTTTATACACTAGTAGATCCTGGAGACCTGTTAAACAGTAAAGTTTGAATGTGTTTTTGTTTGTCATTATGTAGTTGGTTAACCATCCTTATTCTACTTGGTTATATGGCCATGGTGATTGTGATTTTACTTAATGTCCTTATTGCACAGTTGAGTTTCACATACAGTGAAGCCAAGAACAATGCAAAACTTCAGTACGCTATCGACAGAATGTCAATTATCACTCGACTAGAGCAAAGTACATTTGGAGTTGTAAGTATACATATTAGTATTGTTTTTTGTCAATTTATTGGTGGGCTTTAGCAAGGATTACGTGGGGCAGCAGATGGTGGGCAACGTCAGGAATGTTGGCGTTTACAGGAGTTTTGAATGTCTTCTATTTATTTGCCGCCGAATTCAATATTGCTACATTCATTGAAAAAGTAAACCTCGTTTCTTTCACACTGATTGATCACCATCGTCTGGTCGATACAATGATAAAATTTGCTTGATAAAATTCAAGGAGCCATTGAGGATCGAAACTATTCCTGTGGGATATTTCTCGACATGTCAAAAGCTTTTGATACAGTTTACCACAATATCTTCTACAAAAACTTGAATACTATCAGAGGTCATATTTACGTATCTTTGCGTTCAGTTGGTGCTGAAGCGTTCGGATTCTGGCAGTGCGTTGTTTCAGTGGTTTGGTTTGTTGTTTTTTTTGTTGTTTTTTTTGTTTTTTTTGTTTTTTTTGGGACACCCTGTACAGTATACTGTGAATTAATTAAAAGGTTTATGTTAGGAAGAGGAGGGGCACCATGCAATGGACTTTACGTCCAGTTTGTGCCTTGTCCGTTTGAGTACAGCTCTTTAATTGTATGTTAGATGAATAATTGTTGAATTAATTTGTACTCAATAAAGTTTAACAAACAAGGTTTTTGTATTAAAGTGGTTTAATTAAAGTGGTTCCTGTCTTATACACTTAGAATACCGGAAGCAATTTGTATCGATAGGACACGTTAGGTCTGGTACTTCCCTTATAGCATATGGCGTGCCACAGAGATCGGTTCTTGGGCCGCTGCTTTTCCCACTATATGTATATTAATAATCTCAAAGATTCTATAGTGATATTCTGGATTTGCATCTCTTTGCTGATGACTCTAGTCTGTTTTATACTGTGTGCAAATATTTTTAAATGATTCATTATTGCTTAACTTTTAAGAGAGAATGTAGTACAGTGTTGGTGTTGTATAATTGGTTGTCATACATATGTTACTGAGATTTTAAACAAGATTAAACGTAATATTGATGTTATTTGTAAATTAAGAAATTTTGTGGATGTTCACATTCTAATAAACCTTTATCATTTCTTGATTTATTCTATTAACTATATGATTTATCCTTATACTTCCTTCACCAATCCACTTTTCATACTACAAAAAAGCTTTTTCGCATGATTACCTTTTCTGCACGACTACAATGATCACATAAATCCTATTTTTATTAATTTAAATATCTTAAAGTTTCATGACCTTGTCTTTTATGACAATGCCATAATTATCGCAGTGGTAGAAATGTAACGTGAATTTAATCAGCTAATTGTCTCTAACTTCCAATTTTGAAATTATCTCATATTTCTTTAGAATCTTAGAGTGAAGTATTACGAGAATGGTGCTCGAGTGAGTGAAACTGATCTTGTTAAAGGTAATAATAATGATACAAAATGCAATGAGAACTGCAATGCTATATAGGGCCTGTTTCTACACTATAGTGTTTCATGATCTGGAATCTTTGGCCATTATTAAATTTTATGGATGACTCTGGCATCACCTGAGTATACGTACATATTATATGAGAATAATTTCAAACAGATAAAATTATCTGTGTGTTCCTTGGTAGAAATGTTGGAATACAGTGAAGAAAGACATCCTTGGGAGTCAATGGAAGAGAAACTTACATTAGTCAGGTAAGATACACTGCACCCTCATCACCCTGTAATCTGATACTGCAGCTAAATTCAATTAACTAAATTCAATTTAGTTTCTGCTTATTTTTTAAGGTAGTATAATATAACCACTCAGCACAGCATTTCTAAATTCAATTAAGGTTATCGCAAAGCCAAATATTTCCAACCCCACTGCCCCAGCTCAAATATTATTGGGATGGTACACTGTTTAGTACATCTGCTTTTTCACCAATGCAACTGGCCTCTATTGTTGTAGACCTGCTGCAAATCTCATCTGAATTTTGTATCGTTCCGCTAATATTGTGCATAACAATGTGTCAATATTGTGCTAGTCTTAGAAACTAGGCGAAGTTTCCATATATTAACTTCACACCGACTTGATCTCGTGGGGCACTAGATTAGCAAACAAAAGGTCGCGGGTTTGATTCCCACCGCAGTCAAGCAACATTTTCAGCTTGCCCGTTTTGGACACACTCAGGGTGGATCATCTTAAATATATCTACTGAGTATGTGCACCACAATTATTACACTGTAAATTTGTAAAAGTTGTAAAAATTTATACAGTGTAAGTCTTGTGCTGGTGTTAAAATATATTTAATAATTTCTTTTTCGTTACATATTTTTTTCAGAGATTTAATGAGGAAAGTAATACGAAAAGTGTCGGACAAATTCGACTAACAAGAAACAGAAAAGGACCATAATACCAAGAAGCTGCAGTACATGCATGTATTCGTTTCAGACTGCGGTTTCTGAGGCGATTCCAGGTTGCTGGATGTTAATCACGAATAGGAAATTAGTTATTGTATGCCTATTACTTTTTCGGGAGAAACCTGATGTTTGGGATGGGATTATATGTAATACATGCATGCATGCAAAATAGGTTTTTTGAAAGACATAGATGAAGTAGTTGCGGACGATATTTTCTCTGCCTTGCTCTGTTGCCCTCTTGCTCTATGTACAAGATGAACGTAATTCAGCGGAGGATAATGGTATAGATCAGTGGACTCTATATAAATACTGGAACGATAACTCCAGATCTTGGATAAATGGCCCTATGATTGGGTGAAGCCAACACAGCGGCCAATAGAGTGATTTCTTGTAGGTATAAAACACGCGTGTACTTCGCGCGGGAGCTGAAGAATGACTATTAGGTTTTCCACTTGATGTTTTTGAATTTTTGCACGCAAATACTTATTTTTAGTCGTAAATACCTCACTTAAAAGTTGAAAACTAGATGTAACTGTCATCCAAATTATTTTGTTTTCAGTTCAAATCCCTCATGGACAGTTCAGAAAAATAAAATTTTGCTGGTGATTCTCCACGGGGTTTTATTAATCTTGTTTTTCATTAATCTAGTCAGATAACTTTGCTTTTTATTGATAATGTAAGGCCATATAATAAAAAATGAAGTCTGCTGAAAAATTATGAAATTATCATGTGAACGGCCTAAGCATTCTGAAAATTTCACTATATCATGCGCAGACAAAAAACTTTTATAATAGACCTTGAATTCTCAGCAAGTATTTTACGTACGCTTACCAAACATAGAAGGCAAATAGCTGTCGTCTCGGTCCAGTATTTTGTGGGATTTCATGAATCATGGCAATGCATTCAGTACTTTTAGAATGGCGTAATTTCTTCTTTTTGATGTGGAACTCACTATATAAAGCCATAAGTCTTCTGGACTAGGGAGCTGAAAAATTACTATTACGTTTTCCACTCGATGTTTTTGAATATTTGCACATCTCACTAAAAAGTTAAAACTAAATGAAGGTAAGATTGAGGAACTGTAGTGGCGCTTGTAGTCAAATTATTCTATGTTCAGTTCAAATCTCTGATATAGACCTTCAAATAACCCCGATAGATAGATTTTTAAAAACCTGACTTCCATGAGAGTCAGCCAATTGGCGCAATTCTTAATATAACACAAAGTCATAAATATATATAACACATTAATAGATTTATAGATATATAAATAGAACGCAGTTCAACGATTATTTTTTGAATGCAAGGTTGTGATTAGTACTCGTAAAATTTCCCATTCCTCCCCACTTTTGTTCCAAACTTCCCCCATTTACTCACTGAAAAATGTCCCACTTTCCCATCTCTCCCCAATTTTTTCCTACTTTTTTCTCCATGGCCACTTTTTTCCTCCATTTTTTCATTTCCTTTTATTTCTACCATAGAATTTTCCCATTTTTCTTACACTTTTATATGGGTCGCCCTGGCCACTTTGCTCCCCCATTTTTTCATACTTTTTTCCCCATTTATTTCCTTCTTTCACTTTACTCCCTTTTTTCCAGTTTTGTTCCCACTTCTTTCTCCACTCTTTTCCACCAAAAAATCTCCCATTCTTTCCTACTCCCCCAATTTTTTCACGAATCCAAAACTTAATAGTTAATGCCAGGTCTTAAATTGAAAATTTGAAACCCGGTTCAAATGTAAGACTTGCATTTTCAGCCCAGCCTTCAGAACCTGGTCTTTAGTGGAAAACCAAAACCGACCGAGAACAATAGAAAATGGGTGTGGTACGTTTATAAATCCATTTCATACCCTCGAAATCTCCATGTTTACCCAATACTTCATGTAAGAATTTTATCACATCGGGCGAAAAGTAGCGACAAACACGTGTTTGGCTAGGTTTTGCATATTTATTCGCTTATTTTTACTTATGATTGTTTATTACATTCAAAAGTTCTGTTTTTATGAAAGCGTTAGGAGAAAGTTTGGCGACAAAAAAAAACGGGGAAAATACTTCGGAACAAATCCCAGAAAATCTGGCAAAAAAATCGCACAATCCCAAGAAAAATTTCAGGGATTTTTTAATTCCATGCAGAATCTTCGTACGCTTTTTTTCAGAGTAATTTACCCCACGAACTAACCACAACATATTCATGATTGTATAGGCGTTCGGGAAGCGGATCGGACAGGAAGATTTCAAGAATGCCATGCATAACTTAAGGCCGTTTTCCACTCGGCGGAATTTTGCGCAGTGCCTTTTTTAAGGAATTTTCACTGGGAGGGCAAAACAGGGAAAAAAGGCAGAACGAAAAATATGAGCCGTCGAGGTTTGGCGAACACGCGAGTCTGAAGAGAGATTTTGTAAAGCTTTTATTAATTTCACCTATATTTTACTTTAAACAATAACTTCAACTCTTTGTAGGTATAGTCGTACAGCTATAACCAGTGGCGTAGCCAGACCTTGATTTTTTTTGGGGGGGGGGGCGCGAACCTCACGCCGAAGTCGTGAGACCGTCTAGGAGGGTCCGGGGGCATGCACCCCCGGGAAAATTTTGAAATCTAGGGTCCCTGAATTGCGATTTCAAGCATTTTGAGAGTGAAATCTAGCAGAATTCCGAAGATTATAAAGGACATCGAAGACATGAATTTTTCCAGACATTTCTACTCGGAATTAAATAAATTGGAAAAGTCACCTTGAAAAATAGGAGGAGGGGTCAGTGTCACCTTATTTCCTCTCTGTGATTTAAATCATTTTGGGTTCTATGAGACACCATTTCCGCATTCTCAAAATTGCGTTGCTTTTTCATACGATACAGAATAAATCTGAGAAGAAATATTCATGCTATGATGATGCATACATGTATTTAACAGTTAAAAATCTAAACTAAATCTATTCTTCTTGGAACCAGCATTTTATCGGATTGTTTGCATGAAATCTATCACTATTATGAAATACTCGGTGAAGAACAATATGAATTACACACAAGATGGCTGTGGAGGAGGTTATGGAAGGGCATAATCTCATCAAGTAAATCAGCTGCAATTCTGACAGCAATCATGAGCAATTCTGCTTCGCACTTCGGGGGCAGAAATGGCTTTACTGGGGGGGGGGCAAATTCTTTCCCTGGGGGGGGGGGCAATTGCCTCCCCAGATATATAGTATATAAAAGGCACTGATTTTGCGTGCGGAGCAAAATTTTTCTTGTGATTTCTCGGGTGGAACTAATTAGAAAAGACAGAGAAATTTCGCGTGGACTAGTGGAAAATGGCCTTCAGGGATAGGAGTACTCCAAACCAAGCACCATTTCGTTAACATAAACTATTCCATTAAAAATGAATTATCAATCAACATATATCCCTCCCGAAGACGTTCTGCAACTTCGTTTGCGGCTTGGACTTTTTCTTCGAACTTCTTTGCAGCCCAACTCATTAACTTTTCCAACTCCGCTTGTTTTTGCTGCGAAATCCGCAGCAAAAACATGCAGACCGTCGTTGCTGTTTTACTAATCGGGCCGTTTTGATCCCAGTCCATGTTTTACTAATCGGGCCTTTTTGATAACAGTCCATGTTTTGCCAGTCCAGTCCATGTTTTACCATATGCCGCTGAAAAACTGCAAGTTTCAGTTTGACAGACTTGCGGATAATTAATTTTATTGTCCAACCAGGTAAACGGGTTCATTCAAACGTAAAAAAGGTCACAGACGTCCAAACGAAGGTCAATGCAACAAAATCGATGAGATATCGTCGTTTAGTTGCAAACGTTTTATGCTAATTTCGAATACTCACCGAGATTATCCGAAAATGTGATCAGGGACGCCGTAGCGAGGGTAGGGCACAGGGGGGGGGGGGCAATGTTGACGTAAAGGCAATCACTAATTAATATTTAGTTTCCGAGAAATTTTTCCGGAACTTAATTCACCAAAACAAAGGCAAAAAATTTTCCGGAACCTTAATTCACCAAAACAAGGGCAAAAATTTTTTGAAAGCTAACCTAATTTTTGACACAATGTTGCAGAAAATTTCACGTATATTTCAATATCACGTCCATTTCACCCGTAATTCATACTTTTTAATCGTTGTACCTCATATTTTTTGGGTTAGAATTTTTACTCTCCCTGTCCCCCTTACTAAAGGGCAAGGGGGGCGATGCCCCCCTTGCGCCCCCTTTCCGGCGTCCCTGAATGTGATCTTTCTGGTGGTTATTGTCTGTTGGACACAGTTGGCATGTTGGACACAGTTGGCATATTGTCTGTTGGACACAGTTGGCAACGAGGTTGGGGCCATCCATGCTGTATATTTTTCAACGGACATGTCCGAAGAGCGGTTGAACCATACACACGTTATGTAAAAACGCTTGTTGAGCTCAACAGGCTTGTTACAAGTTGTTTCAACAACTTGTTATTGTAATTCAACAACTTGTCAACAAGTTGTGAGCTAGTAACAACCTTGTAGCAACTTGATAAAATAACAGCATTGTTACAACTTGTTGACAAGCGTGCTATAAGCCTGTTGCGAACACATCTTGTTGACAAGTTGTGAGATTTTTACCACATGACTAGCTAGTCATGTGGTAAACGTGACATCACGTGATGACTTTGAAACAGAAAGCGCGGATGCCAAACAGATTTCAAATTTCAATAATAAAAGTGTATAGCCAAAAAGTTTCGTAAAGGACAACATACTTTGCAGAAAACCTATTTCATTCATAGGCAGCGCCCAAAAGCTATGGGTTAGCGGGAAATCAACCAAGCCCATATTTGTTTAATTTAATAGGTAATTGATACGTCATCACCTTTGGGTTATATGATTCCTATTTCCAAGTATTTTAAATATTCAGGCTGCTTTTGTTATTGCATAATAAAACCAAAAGCCAAGTGGATGTGTTTTAAAACCTCGTATGTCTTTTGCTCTCGATTTATTTGCTTTACAATGTAAGACAAATGTTGTAAAGAAAGATGGTTGGTATATATTCGTACAAAGAAAAGCGGAGCATTGTTTTGAAGCAATTTACAATGCTTTAAAGAATGGCTTGTTCCTCGACAGAAGAGAAATACGGCTACGACGACTGTCGATTTGAGAAAGATGTCGACGAAAATTTTCATTGTTCTATCTGCTACAATGTTCTTAAAGAACCGAGGATGTGCAGAAATAATGAACACGTCTTTTGTCTCGCCTGTATCAGTGAACATTTGAAGGTAAATTCTCAAACCTGTCCTGAATGCAACGAATATTTGAGTGTGGATATGCTTCGTCGGCCGCGTTTAGTGAATAATTATTTATCTAAGCTGAAGATTAATTGCGATTATGCCAGTCGGGGATGTGCTCTGTTTATTTGTCTTGAAGATCTCGAAAATCATGTTGGAAGTTGTGGTTTGGCGCCCGTGTTGTGTTCAAATGAAAATTGTGGCATGGAAATTAACAAGCAAGAGAGGGACCATCACGAGACTGTGGTTTGTGAGTATAGGAAAGTGAAATGTCATGACTGCGAACAGATACAGGAAGTCGTGGGAAAATTGGAAGGAAGTTTGACAGAACTGGATGGAAAAGTGGAAGCAGCAAATGAAAAGATGCAGATCAATCACGTTGAAATGAAAAAGGTTGTCGGAAAATTGAAAGGAAGTTTAGTGGAAATGAATAAGAAGTTTGATGAAAAAGTGGAAGCAGCAAGAGATGATGCAAGGCATGAAATGAAAAAAGTCAAGAATGAAGTAAAAGAAGTTAAGAAAGAAGTAAAAGGGGTGAAAGCAAATCTTTCCAAAGTGAACAAGGACATGGACGAAGTCAAATTCATGATGAGTCAAATGTTAACAAAGTTAGAAATGCTTCAACTGCTGAACAATCTGCCATTTCCAACTGAGGGAGTATTAAATACCCCTAGAGGAGACATTTTGATAGCAGGTGGCGACGGACGTTCCAGTAAAACTGGAAAAAGTGCAGAAATATATTCCTGGGAGAGAAATTGTTGGTTTGAAGTATCGCCAATGAATGAAAGGCATATTAAAGCTTCATCATTTATTTATGATGATCAGTTATTTGTTGTTGGGGGAAGTTATTCTGAGACGATAGAGACCTTGGATCTCAATAACTTGCCTTTGAAATGGTTGGAATTCCCCGAAGAGTTGCCGTGTAAGAGTGATGCTCATCAAACTGTTGTTTGCAACCAGCATATCATTCACATTGGTGGAGATTTATATAGAAAAGGACGGTCCAATGCTATTAGTGAACTACAACTTACCTCACCACCAATTATGAAAGAGTTGGGCCACATGTCAAAGCCGCGGTATTGTCATGGTGCTGAGGTATTTGAAGACAAAGTCCTGATCTTTGGAGGAGTAAATGAGCATTCCAATGTGTTCGACAGTGTGTTGGAGTTTGATCCAAAGAAGAATGAATGCAAAGAGATGCCATTATTGCCACATCCCGTGACGCGAATGGGAACGGCTCGTTGGAAAGATAAAGTCTATGTGCTTGGAGGTCGTGATAGGGATGGTCAAGTTTTGAATGATGTTATCATGTATCACTGCAAGACAGGCAAGACCTCATTCCTACCATCCATGCTGGAAAGGAGATCCGATTGTTGTGCAGTTGTCGCTGGAGATAGAATTGTGGTCATGGGAGGTGAGAATGAGAAGCATGAAACTCTTAATTCTGTGGAGTGTTTTAAGATGAGTGGTTCTAGATGGGAATATCTTCCTGACATGAATGAAGCCAGGTGGAGCGCAGTTGCTGAAGCTTTACCTGCCAAAGGTTTGACATCTGACATGTATTTTGACGATTTGTATTCTTAATTATACAATATATAGGGTTGTTTTAGAAGAAATTACGTACATTCTAGTAGGGTGTTGATGGGGTATATCATGAGTCGTGATTGCTCAACTTCGGTTACCGTCAGTCGTGAAAACACTAAAAATTTTACCGTGAAGCGTGACACTTTTCAGCAGATTCAAAGATTTACCGTTAAAATACCAGAATTTTACAGTTAAAATACCAAAATTTTTACCGTTTACCGATTTTCAGACTCCCCCTCCCCATCTAGACCCTCTTCTAGAAATTCGGCGAGAAAGGAATGTTTAAAATGCTTAGGAAGTTAGTATATGGCTATATACATACATTTATATAAATAAACTTCATTAATGTAATAAATGTATTTAATTAAGTGGCACAATAAATGTCAAAAGTCTGTCCCTGAAAAATGCCCACCCCGCGAAAAATTTGGAAAAGTGCGTAACACCCTCCCCCCCCCCAAAAAAAAAGAATGTGCGCTCTTGCTCATAAATTACGTTTACCCTACAGTCTTGATCAAAACCATCAGCGACACTCTATTAAAACGTTACATTGTGGCTATTAGACCGGAATAGTTTACTCGTGCCCTCCCTCCCCCGCCGCCCCATACCAACGTTGGACGTCAGAGGTTGGACGTATTACAATTGTTTTAATCATACTCTGGGAATACAATCAACATTGAATATTTGGAATAAGGGGGAGGTTTAATTTTCTAAATTGGCGATAATACCAAGAAAGTTGGTGAAATAATTGGAAGTGCCGCAAATGTTTTGTGTGCAGAATTACAGTTGACTTGATAGCTCAAGGCAGCACGTTAATAAAACGAGCTTTGGTTTCTATGTTCTTTATTGTTTGCAAAAACAAGATACGAATATAGGGTTGGGGGACTATATTCTTTCCTAATACCGATGGTTGCCCGAGTACTCTCCGACATCTTATCGTATTTTTAGCGGAAAATAAACGAGGGACAAAACAAAGCTCATCTTACGGTATCCCGCTGGATAGTTCAACAGAGTGAACAGACCTTTATCACGCTTTTTGATTCAATTTAAAATTTAAGTACTAGTTAAAACATGAGCAGTCTATCTTTATCTGATATACGAATTAAACTCGAGCCGAAGGCGACAGTTTGAATATCAGATAAAGTTAAAAAACGACCCATCTTATGAGTTCACTGGCGAAGTTTATGTAAATCAGGACAAATCTTTATCCAATTTACAGACATTGATTAAACATTCGTTTCTTTTGCATAACAATAACATAACAAATAACAATTTTGGAATATTTACTTAATTCTTGAAAACGACTCCGAACCTAAAGGAGTGGGGGAGAAGCACGTGGCCAAACGGGAGACGACGTGGCCAAAGGGGGACCACAGGACCAAACGGGTGGCCAAAATTTTTTTGAGAAAAAGTTAATGGGTTAAGCCTGCACTGCACGGGGTTCCGGAACTACGGGAGCAGTGGGGCAGCAAACTTCGCAGGGCTATATTATCCGCATTTTACAACATTTCGCAACGAAACGTAGGAATATTACTAATTTTTGTGATGCTCTTTCAAGCTGTGATGAAATTTTTGTCTATACTTGTCTAGATCAAAATTTTGTTCATTAGGGAATAAGTCCATTGCAAACCGGCAAATAGGCAGTGGATTTTTCGTACACTGAATCACATTAACCTTAACATCATAGAGTTTTAATTTAAGTACTATAACATGAAAATGTAACAAAAAAGTAAGGAAAACGCTGGTCATAAAAGCAACGCGTTGTCGTTCCATTTTAAGCAAATATGTAACTAACCAGTTATACCATTACAGTTAACAAAATTGCAACGATTATCGTAATTCCGTTTCTTGTAACGAAGTTACTTACAGTGCTGAATGAGTCATGATTTGTAAAACATGCACTGAGTACATAATTGTAAAACGTGAACTCATTCCATGTTTCAAAAATCATAGACTCAGCCCACAAATTACGAACTGGGTCTATGTTTTCCGAATCCAACCCAGTCATGTTTTACAACATGCCAAATTTCACAAAATCTAAGGACTCAAAGACTTTCAAGCCCCCTATGATTTGTACGAACTCTAATCAATAAAATGTTTAAAAAAACTATGCAAAACAAAGCGAGTTTATGACAAGATAATAAACCATGCATCGCGAGTAAGGGACCCGTCATTGATTTCCAACACCGTCATTTATTTCCAACAGCCTCCTTTAGGAGCCCGTCCTCCGCCCGGGGTAAACTGACCTCCTTTGTAGAAAGTGCCTCCCGAACTTGATCTCGACGATCTGGAACTGAAACCTGGACTGGGGGACATGTAGCAGCCTCCTGTCGGGGCACGACCTCCCCCGGGTGTGAACTGGCCTCCTTTGTACAACTTCAACCCAGCTTTAGATGGCGGTGTTGCAGGGCTGTATGGGGATGATGGTGGTGTGCTGTAGGTGGAATAGCCTGGTGGTCCGGAGAATGAAGGGCTGGAATATTGGTCGTAAACAGATGGCTGGGGACGAGTAAGAGAAAGGAAGGACTGCTCCTGTGCTTTTAGCAGCATGGCTCGTTCACGGGATAGTTTCTGTTCTAAAATCGAAGAAGATATGAAGAAGACTGAGAAGAGCGAACCTGCAGCTATTATTTGTCAAACTCTAGTTGGCAGCTGCAGGTATATTGGAGAAGATTGGGTTTAGTTGTATCGAATTCTCTTCAGCCTCCTAACGAAACATGCAATGAAGCCTGCTTTATGGATATGGTGCACCAGTTCAGTAAACATGTCAGTTTAAACATACACGTAACAAACTTGCGTTTGCTTTTCTCACACGAGATCTTCTCTTGGCCAAAAACTCAAGTTTATAACTGGGCTATCATCTTAACCAATCCTTAGCTCACCACATATTCAAAAATAGCTGCGTGGTTTCTCCTTTATCTTACCATGATTGTATAGGCGTTCGGGAAGCGGACAGGAGGATTTCAAGAATGCCATGCATAACTTCGGCGCAGGAGTGCGCCACCCAAGCACCATTTCGTTAACATAAACTATCCCATTAAAAATTAATTATCAATCAACATACCTCTCTCCCGAAGACGTTCAGCTTCGTTTGCGGCTTGGACTTTTTCTTCGAACTTCTTTGCAGCCCAACTCGTTAACTTTTCCAACTCCGCTTCTCTTTGCTGCGAAATCCGACGCAGACCGTCGGTGCTGTTTCGGAAAATCCCGATAAGCCTCTCCTTTTCCTGTTGAAATGTCTGGCGGAGACCGGAAGTGCTCCATTCTTTGCTCTTCTGCAACTCACTCTCGACTCCCAATCTAAAATCATCAGCAGCTCTCGACAAGCGAACATGCTGCTCCGATCTTTCGGCGTACTCTTCTTCTTTTTGCTTTGCTTTGACTTTTTCATCTAATCTGATGGAAACCCATCGTTTCAATCTTTCCAACTCCTTCTCTACCATCTCTGGTATCCAATCTAGCTCGCGGGTTTTTTCTACGAAATTACTGACCATTCTATTCTTAAGTTCCGGGAAACGCTGTTGCATCTGCCTGCTCCCCTCTTCGCCTCTTCTTAACTCGCTCTCCACCGCTGATCTAAACTCCTCCACGGCTGTCGCTAGAATCCCGTTTTGTTCCGCTTCTCTGGATTGAATGGCAAGCAGGTTTTCTTTTCTCTTAGCATCAAGCTCGCGGTCAGCGAAATGTTCCAAATCTTCAAGCACTTCGTCTTTATAGACAGCCTCGAGGTCGACTTTCGCTGTGTTCTGTTCGAACGCGTCGAGAAGTGCGTCCCTTTCCTGAGTTAGCAGCTCTTCGAGTCCATCTCTCACAGGAACATCGATTTCCTTGTAGGCTTCGATAAGGTTTTCCTCGAAGCACCGTTTCGCCTCATCGACTACTCCACGTTGAAGCTGGCTAACGACGGATTTGACATGGACGATGTCGCCCTCTTCCAGTTCTTCGACAAATTTTTTGACGAGAACATCGACGTTCTGGGAATTAACAACGACGGTTCCAAAGCTCCGTGGCTGGCTCATTTGATCCAGTATTGCATCTTTAAGCTCCTTGACACTTTCCTTGAACTCTTCAGAAGTAGTATTAGGATCCAGGTCGTGTACGTCTTCGCACGGCGCTGGAAAGATGGAAACATTAATGCTTTCGAACGAAGAGAGCAGTTTCTCACGCACCTTGTTTCGTTCCTTCACTTTTTCACCGCGTTTATTTTCTTCATCGAATATCATAGCGAATGCTTCCTTAGATGTGCCTAAATAAAACGAAGACATCGAACTTAAAGTTTATGTACATTAGCATGATTTTGTATCTAAAAACTCATTCACGCTCATGCTTTCTTTTGTGTTTGTTTACAAAAATGTTGTCCCTCCAAACTCTAAACCTAAGACCTTAAACTCTAAGCACGAAAAGTGCAATTAACATGGGAACGCTTTCCATCATAAATAGTGGCTGTATGCCCAAGGATTATGACAATTAAGTCTTTCTGATTAAATACGGCAAACATTGAGTGGTCCCATTGCCCTTTTCGCGCTTAGAGTTTAAGGTTAAAAGTTTAAGGTCTAAATTAGGTTCGAAGGACAAGATTTTTTGAATTAGCATGTCTGCAGATTGTACGATTACGCTCTTTCACTTCGTTGTTGTTGAGCACTCTGCGGAGTTGTTGCAAGTAAACTACGTGAAGCTTACCTCTTTTGACTTCCTAATTCATTTTGAATTTTCCTCATTAGCTTTGCAAATTTGAAAAACTCTGCAAATCCCTTGAGGGAATTTGCAATTTTCCTATTGGCTGTTACAATATTCCAATGCAAGAAAACTTCATTTTAAATTTTCCTAACTTCCTGTTTTAAGTTTTTTTTGTCATTGGTGGATTATTCTTGTTAGCCAATTGCAACGCGCACAACAGAACAGGAAGTTAGGAACTTGTAACAGGAAGTTAAGAACTTCTAACAGGAACTGAGGAAAATTTAATCGGCTTTTAGCAACATTGCCAATTCCCTCAAGGGATTTGCAAGGGAGTTTTTTAATTGCAAAGGAATGAGGAAAATTTCAGTCAATATAGAAACTCAGAAGAGGAACGCTTGACGCATTTTACCTGTAATGGTTGTCTATTAGCGATAATGCAAAGCTCACTTCCCTTGTGGACAATTGCATTTCTGAGGTCATACCTATAGTACAGGTAAGATTCTTTTTATTGGTTAGAATTTTCCCCTGGATTTCTCCTTTTATCTAAATCCCGACAATAATAATTTTTTTCTTTCTTGGGAAATAATTTCTGGGACCAATGGTCCCGTGGTGCGATACATTTTCCATCCCTGAGTTGATAAAACGCGTAACTATTCCGCCGAGTTAAATCCTTTCAATGTTAGACAAAGTTAACTTAAAAAAAAGTGCAAGTCTGCATTAACTTTGAATTACTAGCAATATTTTTTAGTTTAGAAGCACAAAAGAATCGTTATAGTTTATATTACTTAGTTGATATTATAGATTGTAAATACCTTTAAATACTATATTTTTGTAATTCCTTTTTACACGCCCCCTGTGGAAATCAGCCTTGGTTGACAGGGTTAGCGTGGATAAATAAAGTTTTTCTATTCTATTGTTATCGAGTTAACGTTTTTACTGAAACGGTAAGACCACAACATACCTTGGAAGTGAAAATCCCGTAACACAATATGCAGATGTCCAAATTTCGACGTGTCGTTTTCGAAACTATTGGACGACACACAGTTTCCCACCTCGACAAGAATAGCGAGCTCGTTTAGGATTTGGTTTTTCTGCAGCCCACCTTTCCAATTGAACAGGATCACTTTAGACAACAGAAGAATCGGTGTCAGGAGGGTCGTGTCGCTGTCAACATCTTCGTCTCCTTGTCCTTCTGTGTCCACAAAGAAAGCACCGCCTCCGTTTTCGACTTCATGCACAACGCTTGCTACTTGGATCCCCTTCGTGCACACACCTATCGTGTCAGCCGTACCAAACACACTGTCACCGATTAGACAATTCATGAGAAATGACTTGCCTTGTCTAGCCGGTCCGAGCACCGTCATGAAGTTGAGAAACTTGTATGAAGCGACATCTGGACGTTGGAGCGGCTTTGGTGTAGAAACTTGAAGTTCCTCGCCATTTCGGGTGATCCAAGAGAAACACTTCTTCCCATCTGTGTTACCATTTGCTCTATATGAAGAAACACTATCATGTCAACTTATAAATTTATAAATTTTTGAAACTTTAGTGTGGAACGTATGTTTCTTCATCATAACTAATTTTATATTATATGCAGGCCTAGAAAATATATTTCTCTTGCAGGTTACAGTATATCAAATATAAAGATATTCAGAGAACTCAATATGCACTGTATAAAAAGTTTCTACACTTTTGCTTAAAGGATATGGCAATATAAATTTAATTGTTATGTCTTATTTGAAAGAACATTTAAAATGATATATAAACTTCCTTTACAATTATTCCGTATGTTGCTTGGTTTTCGAAATAAATCGACTTATTTTGATCAAAAGCAGCGTGCATTCCGCCATCTTGGATATGAATTCGATATGCATACGTCACAAGTATAGGGTGAAAGGCGAAATTTGTATCTTGCAAACCACATGTCATTATCAATATCAAACTCACAACATTTTAAGAAACTTTTTGAAGACATTTAGTCCTAAATGAAGAGGTTTTAACAAGTTTACCCTGCTTTTGATGTCATCAAAAACTCAGTTAATTAGGTCAATTATAATACCAAGATGGCGAACTGCACACTGTTTTTGGTCAAAATATTTCAAAAACCAAGCAAGGTACGAAAGGCTCTTCAAGAGCTCCTTGGAACGAAAACATCTTGCGACCAGTTTCTGTTTTCACTTTTGGTAGCCTCAATGTTGAGTTGTTTCTTTCTGGTGGGAGAACTTGTTAAGAATGCCATTAAATTAGCCTTTCTCACGCCGCCATTTTTGTGTGGCTTTTCAGCCAAAGTTTGTCAGAAGTCCACATAACAGTGACTTTTTGTAATTTTTTGGACGAACGATGGTAAATTTGCTTTGTAAATGGTTAGTTTATTTTGAAAAAATTGCTTTTCACATTGTTTTAATTGAGTCTGCATTGGTTAACGAGAATTAGACGCCACCCAAAAAAGGTACAGTGCCTTTTTTAAGGAATTTTCACTGGGGGGGGGCAAAACAGGAAAAAAGGCAGAACGAAAAATATGAGCCGTCGAGGTTTGGCGAACGCGCGAGTCTGAAGAGAGATTTTGTAAAACTTTAATTTATTAACTTCACCTATAATAAACAATAACTTCAACTCTTTGTAGCTATAATCGTACAGCTATAACCAGTGGCGTAGCCAGACCTTAATTTTTTTTGGGGGGGGCGAACCTCACGCCGAAGGCGTGAGACCGTCTAGGAGGGTCCGGAGGGGCATGCACCCCTGGGAAAATTTTGAAATCTAGGGTCCCTGAATTGCGATTTCAAGCATTTTGGGAGTGAAATTCCGAAGAGTTCCGAAGATTATAAAGTACATCGAAGACATGAATTTTTCCAGACATTTCTACTCGGAATTAAATAAATTGGAAAAGTCACCTTGAAAAATAGGAGGAGGGGTCAGTGTCACCTTATTTCCTCTCTGTGATGCTGGGGGGGGGGGGAATCCCAATGTGATTTTGATCAGAAATGTTGCATTTAAATCATTTTAGGTTCCTATGAGACACCATTTCCGCATTCTCAAAATTGCGTTGCTTTTTCAATACAGAATAAATCTGAGAAGAAATATTCATGCTATGATGATGCATACATGTATTTAACAGTTAAAAATCTGAACTAAATCTATTCTTCTTGGAACCAGCATTTTATCGGATTGTTTGCATGAAATCTATCGCTATTATGAAATACTCGGTGAAGAACAATATGAATTACACACAAGATGGCTGTGGAGGAGGCTATGGAAGGGCATAATCTCATTATCAAATAAATCAACTGCAATTCTGACAGCAATCATGAGCAATTCTGCTTCGCACTTCGGGGGCAGAAATCAGAAATGGCTTTACTGGGCGGGGGGGGGGGCAAATCCTTTCCCTGGGGGGGGGGCAATTGCCCCCCCAGATATATAGTTAGAAAAGGCACTGAAAAGGTATATAAGCGCGCTGGTGTGATCTCGCCTAGCCGGGCTGGCTCGTTTCTCATATGAACACAAATTGAACTTTATATGCTTTAACAGAGGACATGCGGATCTCATTCACGTGAGTTTCCCGTAATCTTTGCATCAACATTTTGATCTTGGTTTACACTAATCGCTTTCAAATCTCATTTTCATATATTTTTAGGATGCAATTTATATCAATGGCGTAGTTTCTAAGACAATTTTCCTCTATTTTTAATAACATAAAGAAATGAATCGAAATACTCGGAGACGAACACATTTGACGCTTTGTAGTTGGAGTCTGGAGAACGTCGCCTGACACGACTCTATGTCACTATGTGCTTTTTGACTCACGGATGTTGCGAAGCAACAGTCTTTGTGGTTACTTGAGTGCGGGGCATTTAGACAATGGGAAATGACCAGCCTGCTTTGCGCGCACTGTTTGCCTACGAATCGGGCCTTTCAGAACCGGAAATCAGGCTGGATCACGCGTCGTTCTTTTGATTTGGCAAATGAAGCACGACAGATGGGTGAAATGGCAAAATTTGCACGGTGCCCAGTTTACAAAAACAAAGGGAAACTGCTCTAATTCTTTCTGTCACTTTCATTTGAACTTATCCGTGAGTCGGCCTTTGATATTGTTTGCAGTCAAATTACCACACGAAGCTCAGCCGCCGACCTGGGCCGTAGCTAGACACGATAATGCTGTGTATATTCATATATTCATGTTCACATACTGTAAAAACAATCGCTTTCAAAAGAAATCCGTCGGGCAGAACACGAATATATGAATATGTACTCCCCCTCTGACCCTCTCCAATTATCGAGCTACGGCCCTGCCTCCGACCGGCACCAGCACGAGTCGCTAACAGCGTCAGCACTGTATAATACCAGTCTGGTAAGTGGTAGAACTGTCCAAATAAATGTAAGTCAAATATATCGACTGGATACCAGTTTGGTAGTACTGTAGAAGCATGTTCAGTTGTGAATTTAGTTCAGTTGTGAATTAAGTTCAGTTGTGAATTAAGCGCGGATCAAACAATCCACGACCTTGGATACTGTATATAGCCGTGTTCCGAACGCTTTTCCAAAACTATCATAGTCAGAAACTTTAATAAAGTCTCATATGTCATCTAGCGTCTCAGTTTGCGTTAATCATACTCGTATTATAAAAACTAAAAGTATAAAAACTGAAAGTATACAAGCAGAAGACTGAACTAGATTCGGATAGCTCTTCACTCACGTAGATTGTCGAGAAAACGATAAGGTTATGTCTGAACAAGAAAGAGTAAGCTATATATGGATGCACGGCTATGCTATCCACAACTTCCGCTATCAAAATGGAAAACAGTTTGCATTTTTTAGTTTCACTATAAGTTTCACTTTTAGTTTCACTATCATTTTCACTTTGTTTTGGTTTCGAGCTTTCTCTCAAGCTTCCCCAACAAGACCTAGTAATATATACAGACGAAAAGCGCGTGTATTTTATGGGTTTCAATTACTCTTGAAACCTGAGCTTAAAGCATGGCTCGTCGGTTTTATTCTGTAAGCTTTGTTAAAATCCCACACTAAGTTCAAATTAAGTGAAATGAAATGTACAGATGTGCAAAATAGTAATTACCCTAACCGCGATTAAATGTAGAACGTGCGATTAAATGTAACTTTTATTTTTATAACCACCTTTTTGTCTTAGCTATTAATTAAGGTGTGGACACACGTTCGTAAAGTTTAATATCTTTAGTGTTTTCACTGTTTTCCAAGAGTAGGTTGACTACAAAATTTTTGTAGTTCTCTACAGCTACAGTAGTAGTTGTAGAGTAGTATCTCCACAGCAGTACCTCAAAAAATGTAGTCAGCTACAAATATATACGTACAGCTACGTGACCGCAAAAAATGAAGTTCGCTACTGACTATTTAGCTACCCTGTATCGTTTCAAAAATATAGCAAATCATTCAATCGGCAAAAATAGCAAATCTATCCATATTTGCAATAATCCAATAATATACATTGAATCATGTCATATATATATATATATATATATATATATATATATATATATATATATATATATATATATATATATATATATATATATATATATATATATATATATATATATATATATATATATATATATATATATATATATATATAAAAATATATATAAATATATATATATATAATAAATAGCCAATAGCCGGTCAATAGCCGTGCAGGATCAATCCTGCACGAGGAATTAAAATGCCTTCGCGGGATTTTTGCGGTATTCTCAAAATGTCATTGTTTCACTGTAGTTATTTTATAAAACAATTACCAAATGGTTTTCCAAGCAGGATAGCGTGATCGATGCACTTGGGATGTTGCTCGACGTTCGGAAAGCGTAAAAATACACTCGCCTGCGGCTCGAGTATTTTTACGCTTTCCGAAAGTCTCGCGACATCCCTCGTGTATGGATTACGCAATCCTGTATGGAAAACATTCGGTATTCCATTAATATTAAACTATACATCAACCACTGGCACTGACATAAACGCGGCTTGCAAGCAGGTGGATCATTTGTCAAAACGAAGACGAAGTATTTGTCAAACATACTACAGATATGCTTTTCGTCCTGTGTTAGCTATCTTTAAAATGTTCTAGGCCTTGTCGTGGAAGCTGTGAAAACAACCTCAAAACCAAACCAAAGGCAAAGTGAAAATGATCCCGGTCTGATAATGAAACTAAAAAATGCAACTGTTTTCCCTTTCCCTATAGCTATTTAAGGTTCTTGGCAGTGGACTATACTGTAACTAGTCTGATGGCTCAATTTCTGCCTATTTCTGCCCCGCTACACGAGATTTAGCTATTTACTTGTCTAGTTGATTGATGAGAAATTTGATACTTGAAACTTGAAAGGTAACCAACTATTTGGCTGCTGAAAAAATGTAGCTCAATACAACTATATGTCTATAACTACTCTTTCAAAAAAGCAGTCAAAAATTAAACTACTCGCTTCTTGATAATTGTAATTCACTCCAATAGCGAACTGTAGTATTAAGTTAAACAATACAACTACTTCGCTATTTAAATATCACCTAATCCTCGTGTTTGGGTATGCTTGCTTCGCTACTACGCACCCTGCTGTTTTTACTATAATGCTATTTGCACGCTTTTCGTCCGGTGTAAGATATATTTTCTGTTTTCTTTCACTATATAGCAATAATCCGATTTATAATAACTTTCCAACAAATGAAAATATTCTTCATGCAGCAACAATAATTTCAACGCACCTCAAAGCCCGACCACCTTTGCTTACCGACGCGGGCCAAACCCTTGGTTTCGAACTTGACGAACTTGCCATGTTATGATGTTAATATTTGGCGGTTGATAGCTGTCGAGTGACGTGAACTGGCTTTTCCCAAGTTTGTTGTTTTAATTCCTTAGATTCTCTTCTACTGAGCTGCCGTAATGCAATAGTACACTTTCTGTGGTTCCTTTCTGTTGACAACACGGCTAGTGGCTACAATACTAACAATAGTAACAACACGTCATCAGTCATGGACGCTAGCTCGATTCCTCGTAAAGTCTATGCAACTAATTCCGGGAAATTACACGTCACATCCGTTCTCGTACGTGCAAAAGCCCTCCAAATGTAGCATTATGCTTAAGTAATACATACACCAGTGCATTTTTTGACAAAAACAACTCGATTTGACTGGACAACATGACCGGCAATTTGTTTGTAGTTTGGTCTATACTAATTATACTAACACTTTAGCTGGTCATCATGTTATTACGGCTGGGGGTGAGCTTGTGTTTCCCGACCAAAAGGGCGTGGCCGAAGTCGTTCCCGGTGTCGCTAATTAACATTTCTTTTCCCAAAATTGTTGGCGAATTGGTAAAAATTTTCAGCAATATTTTCGTAAATTTATCATGTTTTCAACAACTATTACTTTTCAATCCGAGACACTCGAATATTCTCAAAAGTTCCCCAACAAAATTGTAGTGATATACCCGACGAAATAGAGACTGGGGGTGGGTGTCACACCCTTCCGGTAGTTTTGCCCCTGGGGATACCAGAAATTATCCCCCTGTAGTTTCACCCCTGGTGATACCAGCAGTTATTCCTCCAAGTACTAGCAGTTTTTCTCTATAAAAATCTTAAAGTTTAGTTAACCTAATTTTTGACTAATATTCCAGAAGATTTCACATATATTTCAATATTACATCCATTTCATGCGTAATTCATACTTTTTTTACTTTTTGGGTTAGAATTTTTACTCTAAGGGCACTTTCATCCCCCCTGCCCCCTTACTAAAGGACAAGGGGACGATGCCCCCCCCCCTTTCCGGCGTCCCTGCCAGCAAGAACATGTTCATTGCTAAAAACTGGGACCTTCCTTTTGGGATCAAATTTTGCATTTTGTCCCATTTATTGTATCTTCTACTGCTATTTGCATTCAAGCTTGAAACATGGAAAAGTTGACACGTGTAGAGAATAATTGAGCAAACACAAGCAATGTAAACAGGGGTATTTTGGCATGCTTAAGTTGCGAGATAAAATAAAGTCATTTTGAAGCTCTCTTGATCATTTTAAGTCGTTTTGAATTGTAATACCAATTAAAAAGTTTGCTAGAATCCATACTGTTTTAATGACATCTGTGTCAGGATGGAGTTGAAATTTGTCACTATGCGACCAGACTGCTACTTCATCCACAAGCACCTGGGTGGAGCTTAGTGAACCTTGGCATGAAATCACTGAAAAAGTTGTGATCAGTGCCGTAGCAAGCTCGATAATTGGGGGGGGGGGGCTGATATTCATATATTCGTGTTCTGCGTTATTAATTAATTTCTTTTGAAATCGATTGTTTTTATGGTCTGTGAACACGAATATATGAATATCAGCCCCCCCCCCGAATTATCGAGCTTGCTACGGCACTGGTGATAGGTTATTAACTCAGTTTATGTCTTAGTTCTTTTGCCATATATACGTATATTCACATGAGTTCAGAAAGGGGGTCTTTTTAAAATCCCTCCTACACAAATACAGTAATACGATTTATGATCCCTTGTCAAAACACAGTGTCTCTTTACCCACTGATAATGTTTCTTGTTGTCGGTGTGAAAATACTGGTATTATTATGATAAGACTTTTAAAAGGTTATTACGGTCAAATGGTTAGCCTGCGAACAGGCTCTCAAGCTGAATTGAGAGCCTGCATCAATGGCCAAGACCAATTTGATCAGTTATGTTTTTTATGCATAGTGCTTCAGCAGTTGACATATATAGAGCTCAGCAGAAACATATAAATTATAGCATCTGACCAATGAGAATTTCGCGTCACGATTTGAGGCGCAGATATTCAAATTCATTAGTCATCGATGCAGGCTCTCAATTCAGCTGTTCGCAGGCTATCAAATGGTCAATGACCTATTGACCTTACATCATGTTAAAGTTATCCTGGACCATTCCATTTAATATCCCCCCCCCTGCCCCCTATGGACAAGGTCAGTAAAATTTTAATCCCTAAGAAAAAAGATCAAAGTGCCAATGAACACAAATCCCCCTCAGAAATGTGAAAATTTTCCCCTTACGGCTTACCCCTAAGAAAATCACAGAGATCAAAGGATGCTGACAGCATTAAATGGAATGGCCCCAGTATGGAAACCTTTGTAGTCTTTGTAATTGCGCACGGGAGGTGATTAATAGTAGTGGCTAGTGCCATTTGCGCACATTCGTACCACAGATGCGCGCATTAATGTGGGTCAATGGACAGCAGTGAAGTCACATTCTGGTTACTGGGAATGGCCCCCTTTACTATTAGAGTAAACTAGGATAATTATATACTATACATTAAAAAACCACTATGGGTAATGAGTGTGCCAGGAGATCTATTAAAAGCATTAATTAACGAAAATTACTATTAAACTCATTACTCATACTGATACTGCCATACACTCGACTCCCCCACGGCACTAAAAGCCTAAACGATACTTGGGTATTATTCAAATTTTCTTCTATAATATATATTTGTTTATGGGTTTTATTTAACTGTCAAAAATGTGTGTGACTTACCATTTATATACAACTTCAAAATAAAAACTATACTTGTATTGCTCGCAAGTTCCTAGCCTGCATGGCAGGCGGTATTTCTACGGGCAGCGAAAATTAGGGAAGCAAAGGAAATACCGTCTGCCGCAAAACTAGGGGTTTTTGAATTACCCGTCCGCTGGTGAACGGAAAAAACGGATTGGTTAGTATTTTTATGTAGTTGTCAATCAATGGCTAAATTCGGTTAAATGTTAATCATTAACCAAATGTTTTGACGTTTTGAAACTCTGCGTTTTGAAATTAGTTCACGTCAAGTCAGACCAGAAATGGAATAACATAATAAAAGAAGCAAATTAAAAGATACAAGCTGAAAAATAACACTCTAAATAGTGTTTTTGACAGAGATTCGAACAAGAATATTTAACAAAGAAGATACGTCCGAAGGGGCCGAAGTTATGATCGGCGAAAGGTATGGGCTAGTCTATTTTCGTTCAGACAATTACATGCGTATTAATTTGATAATATACTATCTCGCTTGACTTTCAAAGGCCATAAATCGCAATAATGTTGACATTTTACTGAAACTATCGATAGAAATTGGGAGATATTTCTTCACTGAATCGAACAGTGGGATTTCCATATAGGCCTATCAGTCATGTTCTGAACCAAAGATACTTGATAGATATTATATACGAACCTCCAAATATAAACAAGGGGCCAGTAGATGCAGTAATTATCAAATAACTGTTAAACTCTTATATACCCGTTGAATATGTATAGTTGTAAACAAATAAAAACTATCATTCTATAAGGTTCAATACTTTCAGTTTGGTTGTTGACTGATGATGAATCTATAGTATAGACTTGCATGCTTTGTATTTTGAGCTTATTAAACCACCGTTTTAAGGCAGCTAAACGGCTAAACGGGCTTGGTTTATATTAACACATAAAATAAATTCCCTGATTCTCATCACTAGACACAGTCTACACTTTGAAATGTCGAAGACAGTGGGAGATTTATTTTTTATATTTTATATTTATATAATTTATATATCAATAGTTCGTATCTCCACGAACAATGACAGAATGACTGGCGGGTTTTTTTAAAATACCGAAATTTCACTCAAAATTCTGTTTGTTTCAAATTGGAAGTTTAAAATGTCAATAAAAACTCTATATAAAATATGAAAAAATTAACTGTCTTGAATTATTTTGTCGGGCGGTACATTTATATTGTATAACTAAAAATAAAACGTTTTCACGAGGATTTTAAAATTCAGTCGGGCGGTGATGAGAATCAAGGAATTTATTTTATGTTGGGCAGTTGGGACTTGGGAGCAGCTTGGGAGTGGCTAATTTTGAATATTTACTAATTAATGCATCTATAAATAGCGTTGATGCTTCAGGGGCGGTAGTTCATTTACACCCAGTTTTGCGGCAGGCGGTATTTCCTACGTACCGCCTGCCATGCAGGCTAGCAAGTTCCCAATAGAATTCTCACTCCTTGAATTTTGTCGCCGCTCGTTAGCCTCAATTAGCATGTAACCTGCGAGCAGGCCCTCCAGGGTACAGTGACGTCATGTCATTTTGAGGGCCAGCGAAATATTCTTCCGAAAGCTCATGAATATTCGAAATTTGAAATAATTTATACTGTGGAGAGAGATGGTTCGCCGAAATGTTCCGTGTATTTGACGTCTTTTTAGTGTGGATTTTAACTCTGTTTTTACAAATTCAAGGAGGTGGAGGTATGGTAAACTAACTATACTCAATTCATATGTTAGATACCGACTAAATAGTCCGTTCACTGCGATTTTCTAGGTCTCTGTTCACCGGCAAAACGAGCCGAATGTGGGGCAGTTTGGCGGACGTGTGTAAACCAACGATGTGAAGCATGTTTTTTAGAGATTGACGGTGAATGTTATAGTAAGTTACATATTTTAAATATATGCCGGTTGTATTTTATTTTATGCTACACTTCAACGGGTTGAGTAGTTTCTGAAATATGCTTGAATATTAGTATTATCTAAAGGCTTTTATACAACTTCCTTTGCTGAAACACAAGAGGAACAGTATTGAAATTTGCATAATGTCATGTTGATCTTAATAGTATGCTTCGCTTAGCTTGGAACTTGTTTTATTAAATCGCTCTATGTGTACATTAGAAGTTTTCGATTTCCTTTAAGATCGGTCAGTTTTCGATTTCGTTTGCCGGTGTGTTGGGATAGAGCAAATGTACAGCTTTTTAGCTGTCTTCTCTAGCAAGATTAATATTCAGTTTATGTTTTGTTTGCAGCTGCTCGTAAATGTTGCTAAATGAATGCAGCTGACAAATTTGCAACATACTTGATCGCAAATAGAAAAGGGAATATTTTATGTGTTTTTAGAACGATGAAACGTAACGAAATGTGAAATATTGCTTGTAACCTGTACAATGTTTTGATACATTATACTGGATTATTAAAATCATAAATCGAAACTTCAGGGGGCGAATGTGCGGAGGCGTTTGTGAAATCTCTAAGCTGTAGATCAATATAAGGGCATACAACATATATAAAGGCATTCCTTTTTCATATGCTACAAAATTTATTACTTTAGAACATGTGTTTGAGCTTTTCTTATGATAATATCAGTTAATACTTTGTAATCGACCACAAAATTCATTGCCGTAGGTGTGTAGCGACCTTTCTTTGTGATGGATTGAGGAACGTCTGTATATAGACAGTCTTTGTTGTCAACAAACACCTTTGTCTTAGACTGTTGTTGTATCTTCTGTACTTATGTTTTCAAGTGGCATGAGCTTGTACTGGCTTCTCTTTGTTGTCAAGCCTGCCACAAAGTTCACACTTCGGGGCTCAGCTTGTAGCCCACATCCAGGGCCGTTCGATGCGATAATTGGGGGGGGGGGGCAGGCTTTTAGCCAGAAGGGCGTCGAGTCGTCCTGGGATGCCCATAGAACAAAAAATGGACGCCCAAATTATGGGGAAAAAGGGAAATTATTTTCAATGATTTCCCTAAGTTTAATATATCTCAAACAAAATAGCTTCAATTGTCATTATTATTATAAATTAATTTGACATTTTGATCAATTCAACAGTGCCGCAGAGAGGTTGGCGGGGGCCCGGGGCAAATATTTATTTGGGGGGCCCCTATCCCAATAAAAATTTCCAGAAAATTTTTTTTCCGGAGAACAACACCCCCCCCCCCCCCCCCGTCGCCAAAAATTTTTCGGTCAGTGTACCATTTTAGGGGTAAAAAAAAATTTCCGGAGTAAATTATTTCTCTGGACGACTACGTTGCTATTGCTTTCCAGGGACTTTATCTAATTTTTTTATGCAGAATTTCGGTACTTATCTCAAGAAAACAGATATCTTGTCCTTTGCGCGGAAATATTTAACCCACAAAAAAGACTGGGGCCCAACAGACTGGGACTTGCCCCCCCCTTCTCGGCGGCCCTGCAATTCAATGTACCTGACTGATTGAAAATGTCATAGTTGAGTAAAGAAGCATAGCGGTACACACTCAGTACTCACAAAACCAAGTGTGTTTGAAAAATTTTTCGAACGAGCTTGGAACAGATACTGATATAAAGTAACGCAAACTTCAAAGGTTTTCCAGAGGAACGTTTTCTCGACACCCCCCCCCCCCCGCCCTTTACTGTTGATGTATCGTTGTACCAAAATTGGACGCCCTCTTTTAGGATCCTGGCTAAAAGCCTGGGGGGTATATATTCATGTTCACTGATTATACTGATTTTACTCAAGAGAAATACATCACATACAGCTATGTATACTAATTTAGGCGATTTCACACACCATCTTTCCTTCCTTCCCTTATATCTTAAGAGGGTCTGAATGGGGGGTTGTGCATGTCAGTTGTCAGTTAAAATTTAGCTTGTTTGTCAGCTATCAGTTAATATTTTGGCGTGTCAGTTAAACACAGTTAATAATTAACTTGCCAAATTCTGCTTGGGTAATTAGTCGTTTTTATAAAAACTTGATTAAATGTGCTTTATTTTGTATGCTATATATAACATATGAGACATATATATATATATGTGCTTTATTTTGTATGCTATATATAACATATGAGACATATATATATATATATATATATATATATATATATATATATATATATATATATATATATATATATATATATATATATATATATAGTTTGATAGTTTATTTGACACTAAAACTTACAGCTCCAGAATATAACTAATTCCACTGCTGAAATATGTTAGGTTTACAAGGATATTAAAACTAATTTTACATGTATTTGTTTAAGAAAACGAATAAGATTAGACTAAATA